GCGCGGCGCGGGCGCGGAGGAGAGAAGGCCTCAGAGGCGCAGCCCTGGGGCGGCCCAAGTCGGCTGGACCTCGGACCTCAGTCACCAGAACTGTGGGAAAAGAGCCCGGCACGGTGACCCGCGATCTGGGGGTGACAGGCGCACAGGTGCGAGGCACCCCGAGGGAGCGGCCGTGGCGCGGCGCGAGCGCCTCCTGCCGCCGCCTTCTGGGTTCGCAGGGCCGTGCTGGGCTGACCACGGAAAGCCCCAGTCCTGGGGGGGGTATGAGGGCAACCCCGAAACTCCGAGAGAGCAGATGCATTAGGCAAGATCGCTACGGCAGTCTGCAAATTGATTGAAAAGACAAAATACCTAGGATTGAGCCAAAGGTCATCTACATAGAAATCATAGAAAAGCTGTATAACGCCTCTAACCTCCAAAATTAAAATCACAAACACCGTTGAGGGGGGATTAAAGGGAATTTATTACGCGGACTCTACCTTACACACCCGGGCTGGGAGAGCTGAGGCTGGTTTCCTTAAACTTACCGTACATTTGGTTAAAATACCAGCAAACCTTTATAAAAAAGATTCTTCTGGCCCTCCCTGGGGCGCAGCGGGTTAAAGCGCAGCACTAAGAAGCCACAGCCACTTCCGCATGAGTTCGATTCCCCGGAGGTGACCGCAGGGCGCGGCAGCCCTCTCCTGACCCGCCCGCTGCGCCCCTCAGCAGTGTGCTTTGTCCATCTGCCTGTTCTGCTTCCCACTCTGTCTCTGGTGAAGCCTCTCACCACCCCTGAGCCTCTGGCCTGTACCCCAGTTCTATATGTACAAATAAATAAATCTTAAAAAAAAAAAAAGATTCTTCTATATTTATTTACGCACACAAGAACTGGGGTACAGCCCAGAGGTGCAGAGGGTGACAGGACCCCTGAGACAGAGTGGGGAGCAGAGCAGGCCACCCAGGGAGATGGAGACGCACTGCTGAGAGCAGTTGGGGGGGCCGCTGCACCCCATCGCTCCCTGGCCGGCTCGCACTGGGCCCAGCCCCTCAGGGAGGCCCAGCAGGCCTCTCCCCCCTCAGGCACCGGTCAGTCACCCGGAGCGGAGGTGGGGCCGGCGGCCTGGTGGGGCCCTCCCCCTGCGCGGTCTGGGCCTCCTCTGCACAGGGTGCACAGCCCACGCTGTCCCGGCCAAGGAAAACTCGAGGCCCAGCCGTGTGCGCTGCCCCGGCCGCGGCCGCTCCGGGAGGGCTGGCCGCCTGCAGGTACACGGCTCCCGGCCCCTCCTCGCGACCCAGCGCAGAGGGCGCTTGCTGCCCGCTGCAGGTGGGGCCCGCAGCCCAGGACCCTGCGGGGGCTCAGTGCACGCCGCG